GTGTGTGTGTGTGTGTGTGTGTGTGTGTGTGTGTGTGTGTGTGTGTGGATCTGTTTTATTTCTCATGATTTGTTTGAAACGAGGACAATAAACTAAGAACAAAACGACAGAATATCCATCAGCGTTCATTATTATGAGCTTAAAGGTCCAGCGGAGTTAAAACGCATGTAGGTCACGACTCACGATCTTAAACTGGCATCATTTGAGTTTTTCTCACGTTTTGTGAGTTGATCGATACGAGCTATATTAACGTGATCTTTTATATAATGTCTAATGCGTCTACCCGCCCGGTGATTCAGTATCACTTCACTGGCTTAAAGTAGCAGTAGCCTGTAATACTGTCGATTAGTCGTAATGATCATTAAAGGATAACTCTGAATGAGAGGTCACAGTTTAGAGCGTCTCCCATAATGATTGATTATAATAATAATAATAATAAATTAAGCTCTAATTTCTAATTTAAGCCTTTTGTGGTGACGGAGTTCAGTTGGTTTCCACCGAAATGGGTTAAAAATAACTTATTCAAATATAGAACCAAAAAAGGGGATGAACGGATATTAATGTGCAGAGTCATGACAGTTAGCTTCACCACAGTGCTGTCAAACTCAGGATGGATCTCATTGGTTGAGATAACTGAAGGGGGCGGGGCCAAACACACCTGCATCTTATTTAGCTATAAATGAGTCGGATTGAGGCGAGGTTAGTTTAGCTAACTGATTAACTCTTTTAAAGGGTTAGGGTTAGCTAAAGCTAGGTGTATCTCAGCATAGCTACTGTTAGCAGTTCATCTGATTCAACCCACCATGACGGGATTTATACTTTATAAAACATAAAAAGACTGCAAGACAAGCTATGAAAGCAGCACAATATTTTCAAAAGAGTATTTGAATAAAATAAGATAAAAGATGAAACAAGCTGAACCACAGTTGTTGGTCACAAATTGTCTTTCGTCACTTCGTGCTGCAGGGATTGAAGCCTTCAGTCCTGCGTCTCTGTGCTCGGAGCTCTGCAGATCAAACCACAGAGAGAGAGAAGAGCTGTGAGAGGTACAGGAAGCTCCACTCACAAAGCATTCTGACCTCTTTACTTCTTTTTCACACTTTGCTGTGTATCAATACTCGATACCTCACAATGAAACAGGATTTTATAATGCTTTGCAAATGTATTGAGGTGAGACACAACAAGCAAACGCAATGTTTTACACGCAGACTAGAAAGAAACATCTAAAACACACATTCAGGTGTTTATTTTACTACTTTGTCTGTTTACGTCTATTTTTCTTCGAAATTCACCAAAAGTTACCATTACATAATGCCTCGTTTGCATATTTAAACATAACATTTCAGAAAGCTTGTAATACAATAAATACTCATCTTAATGAGTGATGAAGTGGTGAAGTTCCTTGGTGATATCTATGAGTTCATGGTTTGACCCTATTCACCTGTAGAGTCTCTAAATGTCTGTATTTTAACTAAACATCTCTTTAAAGGACGTTTTCTCTATATGAAGAAGTAGAAAAGTACTACCATCAAAATATACTTCCAATACCAAAAGTAAAAGTACTCTGTTCAGGATGGCAAATTAAGAATACTGATGCATGAATATGTCAGCGTCACTATTGTTGTAGCTGGTGATACTTTTAACTGCTTTATATACTGGTAGCTTGATCTGTACTAAAACATCATAATGTATTATATAGTTATTAAATATCCATTTATATTTGGTATTAATCTGTAAAAAGAGACAGAGTTTGAACACTAGATGGCGCACTAAGACAGTTTCTCCTCTGATTCATAGAGAAGGATCTTTTTATATTTTTGCTCCACATGTATACTAATGCTAAATGGAACCGTGTGATGATTTATTGAGGTAAAACTTGCCATAACTGGTTTTCTTCTCATCAACTTGTCTGTTCATGTGGCTGCAGCTGAAGAATAAAGCTCTCCTCTTTCCATCCCTCTCGTCTTCTTTCACTTCCTCTCTCCATCTTTTCTTTCCTCATCCTCCTCTCTTCATCTCTCTTTCTCATATTCCTCTTCTCTCAGTCTACACATTAAACAATGCCGGGGTTAATACTGGGAGTAATGGGTCAATTTGACCCAGAATCCAATAACCACCGAGACAAGGGGTTGTTTTGACCGAAATAATCCAATACAAGGCGTGTATGAAAGGTATTACGTCTGTATTATATTGATCCACACTGGAGTCTTTTCCATCTGTGTTTATGATTATTAGACTTTATTTAAACACCAAAAAGAAGTTTACTTAATACGCATTTCATTTCTTGTGGACAGAATGCCTAAATATTAGAAATTATACACTTGTTTGCTTAGAAAAGTGACCGACATTATTAATGCATGGTCAGATTTGTTGCAGATTGATTTTCCTCTGTTTGTCTCTCCTCTGACTATTCTATTATATTCTCTTATCTTTCTCTTCTATATTCTTTCATTCTATTCCCTTCTCTTCTCTTCTTATTCTATTCTATCTTTCATTCTTTTCTATTCTCTTCTATTGTTTTCTATATTATTCTCTTCTTTTCTATATATTCTCTTCTCTTTCATCCGGTTCTATTCTCTTCTCTTATCTTTCATTCTCTTCTATATTCTTCTATTCTATTCTCTTCTCTTCTATATTATTCTCTTCCTTTCTATATATTCTCTCCTCTTTCATCCGGTTCTATTCTATTGTGTTCTACTTTAGTGGAGTAGTTGTGTGTGTCGGCAGGTGGAGCTCCATGCTCTCCCATTCAAAACCTCCATGAGGGTCCACGAGTCCCTCTACGAGCGAAACACGCTGTGTGAAACAGACACACGCACGCACGCGCACACGGCTGTCAGGCGTGTCAGAGAAGCGCTCGAGCCTCTGTGAGTTGAGAGAGAGAGAGAGAGAGAGAGAGAGAGCGAGCGCGCGCTCTGTAGTCAGTGTTCCACCGTCAGCGGGACCGGGCAGACTTGTGTTGAGTCCGGTTCAGTCCGCTTGTTTTGTTGTTTGTTTTTCTCGCTTCTATAAAAATGGGATTCTGACAGCAGCCGGGCAGCGGGCGCCGCCGGCTCCTCCTGGCCGGAAAATGAAGCGTCTCTGTCGGAGGCTGGCGGTGGCCGTGGCGGTGCTGGTGTGGCTGGGGGCGCTGGTTTACCTGCTGGTGCTGAGCCGGAGGAGGCTGCCGGAGCTCGGTACCGGTGCAGGGGGAGGGGGAGGAGGAGGGGGAGGGGGAGGAGGCGGAGAGACAGCGTTCAACCAGGTGAAGTAGAGACACAACCTCTATACTGTGTGTGTGTGTGTGTGTGTGTGTGTGTGTGTGGACTTGAGTTAACATCATTCTCACTGCAGGCTATATCTCCTATAATAAACCCATAATATGATGAGTTTATAGTGGATGTTTTTGTCTTTTACATCCATATGAAGACTGAGATATCTCTGTAGCTTTATCCCAAACCTCAAGGATAGTTTGTGATTCAATGCTGGGAAGAAAAAGTAAAACACATTGCCAGTAAAATGTACTTAATGGAAGGAAATGACAGAGAGTTAATGTGTTTTAATTGTTGTAGCAACTAATTGTCACTAAAGCGTAAAATTGCAGGGATTTCTATTTTATGAGACTTTTTATTCATGTTTTGAAGACGACTTCTTAAACTGCAAGTAATGTAGGAGAGTTAAATTCACCAAAAGGGCCAAACCCTCAGAACTTAAGGCGGGTAAATGTACTGTATCCTCCCTCTCATGTGGCATTACAGGATATTCATATAATCCTGTCTGTAGTGGCTCTGCTTGACTTCTTATTCCCTAAGATAATACTATACGTGCTGCTCCTATAATAAACTCACATCCTCTATAGGGGCTGCTATCATCGTATGAAATCATGAACAGCTACTGTGGCTCCTTTTTTATGATAATTAGGCTCATTTTTGACCCGGCCTGGTGTCCGCACCCAGTTGTGCACTGCAGGATGTCTGTTATGCAAAAGACCTGCAGCATGTTAACTGTGGCTGGTGGGATGAATTGTATTGATCGGGCCACTCTTACCTTGTTTTTATTGAACTACAAACACACACACACACACACACACAAACTAGATTTGTGAGAAAACACTTTTCTGCAGGAATATAGGACACACAAATATCATAAAGTAGTATTAATATCACATAACTTGCATTACAGACACTATTGTATACATTTAGTAGGATTACATGATGTCAGACTTTGCAACACACATTATTAGCCCATCTGAAAATGCAATTAATGGAGTGATGTAGGGGAGGTTTGAGCATATGAGCGTGTTTTTATATACGTGTGTATATATACATTGTATATATGTACTGTGTGTGTGTGTATATATATATATAATGAAACTTACTTGCACCACAGTTACGAACAATCATTTATTTCTTTTCTTTATAAGCACAATCAACCCAGCTCAGTGTGCTTTAATAATGGCATGAATTGATTTTTCGACGAATCGATGCAAAGATTTTTTTAATGGAAAAACCATTTGTATCTGTGTGTGTGTGTGTGTGTGTGTGTGTGTGTGTGATGCAATGCATTTGTGAGGGCTGCTGCATATTCAGCTCCTGCACCGCACGGCGAGACTCAGCAGTCTGTGTCAAAGTGACAAGTGAGTCTGTAGCGACAGCGGAGCTGCAGAAGAGCTGCATGTAAAGTCTGATGGCTCGTGTCCCTGTTAGCCTCCTGACATACTGTTTGTTGGATTATTTGTTCTGTTGGACGGCGGCATGCTGTGACGTGATGCAGGTGGTCCGTGAACTGAAGCGTGTACTCACTCTGGTGTCAGTTTGGATGTGAGCGTCAGTAGAAATGGCTGAAAATGTGAAATGCAAATGCGAGCTGGATGAAAGCTTTCAGGAAGGTCTGAGCAAACGGCGTA